TCTTTATGGTGTTTTCCCCAAAGGCAGTATCTTACAAAACTGGAGTGGACTACTAGAACCAGAGTGTTGACTTTGATCCAGTCTGCAGAGACCTTTGAAACCAGTAGATCTCCTTAGTAAGCAACCAGCACACTCCTGAAGGCCAGAAGCAGTCCTTTACATTCCAAACTTTCTAAGTGAGGTCTTGGAAGACACATCACTTTGGGGATTGCACAATGATCCAGAGGCAGTTTGCAGGATTGCAGGAAATATTTACTTAACCTTTTGCTCTCCACTCCCACCCCTAGGAGTCTCAGGCAGTTGATAACCTATTGTAAATTAACCCAAAGGCAATCAGCTTTGTAAGTTGAGCTGGACATGTATTGCAGGTATTGCAAGCTCACAAATCATTTTATTGAGCAAGCCTCCTATAGCAAGAAGAAAAGTGTGTTCTGAAAGACTCTGGTTCTTCCCACAGCCACTCCATTCATTTAAAAACCCCCATGTAAGGAATTCTTGGTGGTGCAATGGCCTGGAAGCATTTGCTTCTCTGTGGACTAACTGCTTAGATATGACTCTTGTAATTCAAATAAAGGTTAAATTTGGTCCCTGGGATCCACATTGTGGAAGGAGAGAACCAACTGCAAGTTGTCCTCTGACCTCCACATCACGAACACACACAAATAAACCACTGTAATAACTTGTTTTTTGTTTGTTTGTTTCTTTCTTTCTTTTTTTGAAACAGAGTTTCTCTTTGTATTCCTGGCTGTCCTGGAACTCGCTCTGTAGACCAGGCTGGCCCCGAACTCACAGAGATCCTCCTACTTCTGCTTCCAGAGTGCTGAGACTAAAGGTGTGTGCCACCACACCCTGACTTGTAATAATTACTTTAAGGTTAGGTTTTGTATTCTAATTACCAGCGGGATTCTTCGGGTTTTGTTTATTTTTGGATATAGGGTCTTGTCATGCTGCCTCGTCTGACCTCACATTCATAAATAGCCCACGCTGGCCTTGAACTGGTGGCAATCCTTCTGCCTCAGCCTCTCAAGTACTGGAATTACAGGAGTGGGCCAGCACCCATGGTGTCCTTAGTGTTTTACTGCAACCTTTGAAAGTTCTTTGGGTTGTTCTGGACAAAAACATCTCGAGTCTTTTAAATAAATATTTGAGAAAACAGACAAAAGAGGAAGAGCCCCTTCCCCTAAGGACAGATTAATCATAGTGAAAATTATAAAGCCTCCTGAATAAACTATTCATAAAATTGAAAGGAAATCCCCTCTAGAATCTGGAGATGTCACATGACAAAAAAGCATAAAGAAACAATGATACATACCGTAGGAGATAAGACAGAAGCTTGCAGATTGTGTATGTGTACATGGACAATGAGAAAATCTTTGGAAAGACGGGCGCTGGTGGTACACACCTTTAATCCTAGCACTTGGGAGGCAGGGCCAGGCAGATCTCTGTGAGTTTGAGGCCAGCCTGGTCTACAGAGTGAGATCCAGGACAGGCTCCAAAACTACACAGAGAAACATTGTCTCGAAAAAACAAAACAAAACAACAACAAAAAAGCTTTGGAAAACAAAACAAAACAAACGAAAACACAAAAACAATCTAATGCCAGGCACAAATGCTCACTAAATATCTCAGAGTGTGTTTGTGATAGGTTGTTTCTGTTATTGGTGTCCAGAGATAAAGTTCCTTTCCCAAAGTGATGCTTTACATCCTGAGACATACAAAAAGGAAGATGTGAAAGATGTGGGAAGGGTCACCATCTCCTCCTGTTGTTACGATGTGGATGCTTTCCCAAGTTAGCCCTGTTCTTTCTGGTTCAATCCCTACTGTCACACAGATTTAGGGAAGTTTTCTGAGCTTCCTCTGACTGTGCTGCAGGTGTACAGAGATCAGAGAGGAACTGGGCAACTAGTGTCGATTTCAAATTCCTGCTGGCTTAGGGAGAGGAATAACCAGCATAACAAGGTTTTCTCTTGTTTACTTCTACCACAGTAGCTCAGGCTCTCCCATCATAAGAATTCCAACTTCACACAACAAAGGAATTTCAATAAATATGTGGGGAATGGGAAGTGGATAAAACAGATTGAAGTTCAACTTTTCAGTCCCCACATGACCCAAATGCCTTTAAAAATCCTCAGCAGCAATGAAAACCCAAAGGAAGAAAATGAAGGACTTCCAGATTGAAGAGAGATAGCTAAAAGATAATAGCTTAAAAAAAAAAAAAAACAACCACATCAGCCACAAACAAACACACACACACACACACACACACACACACACACACACACACACACACACAAACGTACATAGTTAGGTATTTGGGTTTTTTGTTTGTTTGTTTTTAATGGGTTCTCTTTCATGTAATCCAGGCTGGCTTCAAGCTTATTGTTAGCTAGTGATGACCTTGAATTCCTGATACTTCCACTTCCATATTTCAAGTGCTCAGATTATAGGCATGTGCTACCATGTCCATTTTATTCTAAGGTAATATTCTTGTAATAACTCCATCAGTAACATAAGGTGCTTTTCTTCCTTTTAACCACCAGTTCCACCTTCCTCTCCAGAAATACTAGTATGCATCCTACTGTTACTTTGTAGTTACACATAATTATTTATGTGTTACAAGATACAGTGTATCTTGTAACATTATAACATGATATTCTACTGTACATTCTTGCCATTTTTTTCACTTCAGAAAATATTTGAAAAGGTTTTGTTTTTTGTTTTGTTTTGAGACCAAGTCTCACTGTGTAGCCCAGGCAGGCCTGAACTTGCAACAATCCTCCTGCCTCAGCCTCCTAAGTGCTAGGATCATAGGTAATCAGGCTTGGCTTTTTCGGAAGTTCTTTTTACATCTTCCTCCCACTCATTTAGTAGTTAAAAAAAAAGAAAAAGAAAAGGTCAGACAGCCACACATTAGGGACCAGACACTAGCTGAAGCATCAGCTAGTCCTTGTACTTCCTGTGCAAATTTTATGTATGTGTGTGCTTTTGTTGTTGTTTGATTGTTTTGGTAACAGAGTCTTCTGTAGTGCCAGCCAGATGACTTTGAACTTCTGATCCTCTTTACCTCCATCTCCAGAGTGCTAGGTTTATAGGCATGCACCACCATCTTCCATTGTATACAGTGCTAGAGAATGAACCTACGGCTTCATGGATGCTAGGCAAGCACTCTACTAACTAAGCTACATCACCCAGCTAGTACTTTAAAGATTTATTTAATGTATATGAGTGCTCTATCTGCATGTAAACTTTTATGCCTGCATGTAAACTTTTATGCCAGAAGAGGGCATCAGATCCCACTATAGATGGTTGTGAGCCACTATGTGGTTGCTGGGAATTGAACTCAGAACCTCTGGAAGAGCAGTCAGTGCTCTTAACCTCTGAGCCATCTCCCCAGCCCCTATTTGTTTTTATAAGACATGCACAACCACCTTTTCAGTATAGTTGTAATCTGAACACAAAAGTCAAGCACTAGCCAAATGTGGTGGTGTGTGCCTGTTGTGGTTTGAACGACAGGTTTTCCTATAGACTCAGATGTTTGAATCTTGACGCTGTTAAGGTAGGTTTAGGAAGTATGGCCTTGCTGGAGGAAGTTTCACTAGGGACAAGCTTGGAGGTCCAAGGCCATAGGTGATTCCCACTTGACTCTCTCTGCTTTGCAGTTCAAGATGCGAACCCTCCGCTTCTGCTCCAGCTGCTACAACTCCTGCTTGCTGCCATGCTTTCCACCACAGTGGACTCCTAACCCTCTGCAATGGTAAGCTCAAAAAAATTCTTCTCTAAGTCGCCTTGGTCATGGTATTTTATCACAGGAATAAAAAAGTAACGAATGCACCTGTAATACCATCACTTGGGTGATAGAGGTAGGAGGATTAAGAGTTCAAGGTCACCCTTAGCTACACAGTGAGTTTAATACCAGTCTGGGCTACTTGCGACCTAGTCTCAAAAAACAAACAAAAAACCGCCCCTCTCCAGTCAGCAACCTTCCAAATCTCAAATCAGTCTTTCATTTTTGTTTTTACTTAAGCCAATCAAACTTTCGTTCAAATATGAACTGGAATTAATAGGTGACAGTATCAGTAGCCAAGCCCTCTGCTCACCAAACCAACTTGCTTTCCGCTGTCCTGACCCAAATACCTTGGTCTCCAGTACTCGCTGCTTCTTCTTCTAGGTCCTGCACAAGGTCCACTTTGGGCTCTTTCTTTCTTTCTTTTTTTTTTAAATGATTTATTTACTTTCGTTTTATTTTTTATTTTTTGGTTTTTTCGAGACAAGGTTTCTCTGTGTAGCTTTGCGCCTTTTTCTGGAACTCATTTGGTAGTCCAGGCTGGCCTCGAACTCACAGAGATCTGCCTGGCTCTGCCTCCCGAGTGCTGGGATTAAAGGCGTGCACCACCACCACCGACCGGCTATTTACTTTCGTTCTATAAGCACTTGTGTTTTACCTGCATATATATATGTCTGTGCGAGGGTGTCAGATCCCCTCAAACTGTTACAGTTATGAGCTGCCATGTGGGTGCTGGGAATTGAACCTGGGTCCTCTAGGAGAATAGCCAGTGCTCTTAACCACTGAGCCATCTGTCCAGCCCTGGGCTATTTCTTGACCCTTAAATAGGCCTGGGCCCAGCACTCTCACCCTGACCCTACAGTGACCCTTCCATCTTCCCACTCCAGCAAATTCTGGGACTTCCTCAACAGAGTTCCCCAGGGACCACCATTGTATGCATTTCTAGTGATGACTTGTGAAAACTTCTCTAGGGAATCCGGGCCTGGAGAAGTAAGGAGACAAGTACACACCAAACCCATCCAGAGCGATAAGCATTCATTTTCCTACCAAAGGGGGCGCTGGACATGATGGGCAGGCGGCCAGCTTCCTACTCTTTAAGGTAGGCGGTGCTCCCAGACCGGGTCGTGACGTCATCTCCCCGCGTCGGGGGCGAGATCCGCTTGACGCCATCTCCGGGCGCCCGGCTGGGGGGGCCGCTGGGTGTGGGGCGGCTCCGGGGCCGGGGATGGCGGCGGCCGCGGTGGCGGCGGCTCCGGGACGAGCGGGAGGAGTCCAGGGAGCTCCGTGAAATGGGCCGGTGAGTGTCGCCTGGAGTGGTGGCCACCGGGCTGGCCTGAGGCCAAGCGGGCCTGGGTTCGGAGCTCCGGTGGAAGGGCCCCTTGGAAGCCCGTTGCTTCCCCGGGCCGAGGGCGCCCCAAACAGCGGGCAGAGAGAGCGAAAGAGGCCGTGCCTAGTCCTCTAGATGCTGCTTTCCCGCCTGGCCCGGAAGGCGGCTTCAGGCCCCGATAACCCGGCGGTGTTGTGCCCACGGGCCAGGATGTCCGAGTTCTCAGGGCGGGAAGGGGCCCCCAAACAAGGAAGCGTCGCCAGCGGGGCCTGGCCTCAGCCCGATATCCGACCCCCGACTCTCTAAACATAGAATGCCTTAGTTCAGGCCTTACCCTTGTCGGAACAGCGATTGAGGGATCCTCAAAAGCCATCACCTCTGATCTCTACGAGGCTGCTCCCATTCTGTGGGGCGCACCCCTTTCCCTCAGAGAATGTGGGTCTCCCTCAGTGTGCAACCCCTTGATTCCAATCCAGACAGGAAGAGGAGCTGCGTTCCCGTCTCTATTGGCAGGTCCCTGGAACGGTTCCTCTGCCCCTTAGCTCAGCTGGGTTCACAAGTTGTGTCTTTTCCCATGAGAAAATCTCCAGAGCTGCTCCATACACCCACACCCAGGTTTCAGATTCTGAAATGTTTTGCCTTGTGGGAACCGGGTGCGCAGGCTTGGCTTTCTTCTTTTGGCTTGGGGGGGTGGTGGTGGTGGTGAGGGTGCGGGTGGACTTTTTTTTGCCTGTTTCCATCCTTTCGTTATCTTGTTTGCTAACTCCTTGGTGACCCAGACACGGGTTTTCTTATCTATTTTAGCTACAGAGAGCAAGCATTATTGTGGGAATTTAGGAGAAAGCTGAGTGCTGTCAATTAAAAACTGTTGATGAAGAATGAATGCATGACTTGTACCCAATTTGCGATTTGTTTGTGGCACTAGGAATTTGTTTTTCCACATTTCCACATTTTGTGTACTCTTGAACTATGCCAATCTTAGGTAAATGTTGCCTTCAGTTGGATCGAGGCTTGCAATATTCTGTGTGACTTTGACAGAACAGGCAGTAATTTCTCAGAACCAGTCAACACTGCTAACTCTGTTAAGACTTTGATGGCCCGTTTTTTTTGTTTTTGTGTTGTTGTTTCCCTTTGAGATGGGCTCTTCCTGGAATCCAGGCTGTCTTCTGACGTACTATATAGACTTGAATGTAGTTGAGGATGACCATGTCCAATCTGTGTGATCTGGGGATCAAACCTATGGCTTGATGCATTCTAGGCAGGCACTTTAGCAACCGAGCTGCATCTCAAACCTTGAAAGGTTTAATTATTGATGTTTCTGGCAAGTGTAAATTCAGATATTGTAGCTTAGTAATAGTTTTGTTCCCCATTGCTAGTTACATAGATTTAAAGGGATATTTTCAGTTTCTTTCACATTTCATTCAGTAGTATGAAGTTGTCACTTAGAAAATTTTACACACACACACAGAGGAGCCCTTTTAATTTTACTAAGAAAATCTGTTAATATGGCTTTCACTTTGAGTAACTCCCCCTTGACCTCTTTTTCTGCCCCAGAAACTTAAATAATTGTTCCTTTTCCTCTAGTGCCTTTCTTATTTAAATAATCTTCACGTTTGCAAACTCATAGGCCCTTAATAAAGGTGAAACTCCCTGCTTCTCACTGTTCACATGCAAACAGTATTAAGTCTCCCATTTTTATGTGTGCATTTAAACAAAATTTGGATTGGGAATGAGTCTAATCTTTTGGAGAATAGGGTAGAGAAGAAAAAATATGATAAAGAAACCAATGAAACTTGATACATGGAAATTTCTCCCCATGGATATCTTACCAAAATTAAAGCATAAGAGATCTTTCTTTTTCCTTCTTTTCCTCCTCCTCCTTCTTGTTGTTTTTTTTTTTTTTTTTTTTTTCCGAGACAGGGTTTCTCTGTGTAGCTTTGCGCCTTTCCTGGAACTCGCTTTGGAGACCAGGCTGGCCTCGAACTCACAGAGATCCGCCTGGCTCTGCCTCCTGGGTGCTGGGATTAAAGGCGTGTGCCACCACCGCCCGGCTCGTTTTGTTTTGTTTTTAATTTGTGTGTGGAGGCCAGAGGCCAGCTTTCAGGAGTCTATTATCTCTACTATGTGGGTCAGGGATGGAACTTGGGTCTTTAGGCTTGGTAGCAAGTACATTTACCTGCTGAGCCATCTCACCAGCCTTGGAATTTTTTATTCCCCTTCAATCTCCTGGGCACTCTGGGTAAATGTGCTGTTACTGCTTGGGTTGAGAATGAAGCAAGAGCTCATGGACTTTGATGGTTTCTGGTGGCTTTGGAATTACCTTTCATGACCTGGGGAGGGTGACAGGTCAGACTCCTGCTTACTATATTCTTATTTCTGTCTTGTAGGCTCCTAAGCCAGAGGGGAGGACACCTACTAAAACTGCTCAGAAGTACCACCAGAAGCTCAGGTAATACAAGCACTTTGGATTCCTTGTTACAGGGGAAAAATTTTTTTTTGGCAAGTAACAATGGAAAAACAGAACAGAATTCAACCTGATTGGAAAAATTATTGGTAAAGTTCATATGCATTGACATGTTCATACGAAAAAGATGCTTTCTGATTTTTTTTTTTTTTTTGAGATTGGTTGTCATATAGCCCAGAGCCTCTGATTCATTATGTAGCTAAGAGCAACCTCAAAATCCTGAACTGTTGATTCCCAAGTGCTGGGATTCTATGCATGTGCCATCATAGTGGCTCTAAAAAGGTGCTTTTCGACAGTGCATAAAGTGATTACAAAAAGGGACAGTAAGGGAAAGGGGAGAGAAAACTTTGTTCTGAATCATATAGACCTAAAAAGAGTAAGTGACCATACTTGAGAGGAGAGCTGGAACCAGAATTGTATGAAGTCAAACCCGGAGCAGACCTACAGTGGATAAGGAGCTGCTGGCCAAAGAAACAAGGGAAAAAAGAAGGCAGATTGAAAGTGATCAGTACGGAGAAAAGAAGTCTGACCAGAGCAGGAAACGGGAAGTCTGTGTGAAGTCAGAATTGTTTGGCTGCTCTTTAGAGAGGGTGGAGAAGAAACAAGTTATAGAGCAAGCGAAAATAATCACTCTTCTTATGGGATCCAAGTTGGAATGTAAAGTTTCTTGGAAAAAGAAGAAAACAAAAATACTACATTTCATAATATGTTTAGAGAACAAAGGTCTTGGTTTTTTTGTGTTTTGGAGCTAGGATGTCTCTGTGTCCCCCTGGCTAGCCTGGAACTCACTCTGTAGACCAGGCTGGCCTTGAACTCAGAGATCCATCTGCTTCTGCTTCCCAATTGCTAGGATTAAAGGCAAATGCTGCCACCACCCGCCTGGAACAAGTTTTAATAATAATAATAATAATAATAATAATAATAATAATAGAGACAAGCAAACCTCCTCAGCACTTAGTGACATGAATTTAGCCAGTCTTAGGATAGAAGAGATGGGAGAAAGTGAGATCATAACTCAAATTGAGTAAAGGAAGCAAGAATGAGGCCATACATTGAGGGAAAGAAGATGCCACATTGATCTCCCCACACGTGGGAGGAGACTGTAAAGAGCTAAGGGCCTCATGAAAAGCATGACTAACCCAGAAGTTGGTAGTGAAGAGGTCATGGAACCCTCGGGTTATTTATGCATCTCGAATGTTCGTCCTTGGAGCTCTCTGTGCTTTGTGGTTTTCCTGACTGGTTTTTTCTCTTCTTAGGCTAACAGGTGAAAAGACAGCCTCCTTTTCTCATCACTCTCCTCTGTTACAGCTTTCTACTTGGGTGCAATTCTTGATATTTTGTTTGACTTGATTCCCTGGGTTACTCTTTTTTGCCTCTGGTTTGTTCCTTAGCAGATGTGGGCACCCCAGCCAGCAGCAGAGAAGGGTGCAGGGAAGCCACAGAGAAGTCCCTTCTGATGCCCCAGGGAGCAAGCAAACCCCATCCAGGCTCCAGGAACACCGCAAAGCAATATGAAACCTGTTCATGAAAGGAGTCAGGAATGCCTTCCACCAAAGAAACGAGACCTCCCTGTGACCAGCGAGGACATGGGGAGAACTGCCAGCTGCTCCACAAACCACACGCCCTCCAGTGATGCCTCTGAATGGTCCCGAGGGGTCGTGGTGGCCGGGCAGAGCCAGACGGGAGCCAGAGTCAGCCTCGGGGGCGATGGAACTGAGGCCATCACTGGTCTGACAGTCGATCAGTATGGCATGCTCTATAAGGTGGCTGTGCCACCTGCCACCTTTTCACCAACTGGCCTCCCATCTGTTGTGAACATGAGTCCCTTACCCCCCACGTTTAATGTAGCGTCTTCACTGATTCAACATCCAGGAATCCACTATCCCCCAGTCCACTATGCTCAGCTCCCATCCACCTCACTGCAGTTTATTGGGTCTCCTTATAGCCTTCCTTATGCTGTGCCACCTAATTTCCTACCTAGTCCCCTCCTTTCTCCTTCTGCCAACATTGCCACTACTCACCTTCCACACTTTGTGCCATATGCCTCCCTCCTAGCCGAAGAAGCTACTCCTCCCCCCCAGGCTGCATCCCCAGCCCAGCCATTTAACAAGTCCTCTTCTGCCACCTCCCCACCCGGCCAGTTGCCACATCACTCGAACGCTCAACCACTGGATCTTGCTCCAGGCCGGATGCCCATTTATTATCAAATGTCTAGGCTACCTGCTGGATATACCTTGCATGAAACTCCAACAGCAGGTGCCAGCCCCGTTCTTACCCCTCAGGAGGGCCAGTCTGCTCTCGAAGCAGCTGCTGCCAATGGACAGAGACAGCGAGATCGAAATGTAAGACGAGAAAGTGAAGCCCTTGATTCCACCGGCAGCAAGGGCGAAGGCCAAGGACTGGTGCCGGTGGTCGAAGGCATGGCGGACGGACAGTTGTTTTCAGGGTCTCAGACTCCACGAGTGGAGGTGGCGGCGCCAGCACACCGAGGGACCCCAGACACCGACCTGGAGGTCCAGCGGGTAGTTGGCACTTTAGCTTCTCAGGACTATCGTGTGGTGGCAGCTCAGAGGAAAGATGAAGCCAGCCCTCTTAACCTATCCCATCATACCCTTGACCATCAGGGTGAGGGACGAGGGTCAGCCAGGAATCCTACAGAACTGGTGGAGAAAAATCAGGCCCGTGTGTTCTACCCTCAGTCGCATCAGGAACCAGTAAAACACAGACCTTTACCCAAAGCAATGGTTGTAGCCAATGGCAACCTGGTGCCCACTGGAGCTGACCCTAGCCTGCTGCCTGTAGGCTCGGAGATCCTGGGGGCACCAAGTCTGGACATGCAGGCCAGAGCCACCTTCCCAGACAAGGAGCCAACACCACCTCCTGTTACCTCCTCCCACTTGCCCTCCCATTTCATGAAAGGCGCCATCATTCAGCTGGCTACAGGAGAGCTGAAGCGGGTAGAGGACCTCCAAACCCAGGATTTTGTGCGCAGTGCCGAAGTGAGTGGGGGGCTGAAGATTGACTCTAGCACGGTTGTGGACATTCAGGAGAGCCAGTGGCCTGGATTTGTCATGCTGCATTTTGTGGTTGGTGAACAGCAGAGCAAAGTGAGCATCGAGGTGCCTCCCGAGCACCCCTTTTTTGTATATGGCCAGGGCTGGTCCTCCTGCAGCCCTGGGCGGACTGCACAGCTCTTCTCTCTGCCCTGTCACCGGCTCCAGGTGGGAGATGTCTGCATCTCTATCAGTTTACAGAGCTTGAACAGTAACTCAGTTTCTCAGACCAGCTGTGCTCCCCCAGGCCAGCCGGCTATACCCCGAGAAAGGCCTGAGAGGACAGTCTTGGGGCCCAGAGAACTATGTGACAGCGAGGGGAAGATCCCGCCTTCAGGAGAGGGTTCCCGGGTGGGAGAGCCCTCCCAGCCTGAGCCTGGTGCTCAGGCCTGCTGGCCAGCCCCAAGCTTCCAAAGATACAGCGTGCAAGGGGAGGAGGCGCGGGCTGCGCTGCTCCGTCCCTCTTTCATCCCACAGGAGGTAAAGCTGTCCATCGAAGGGCGTTCCAATGCAGGAAAATGAACCTCTTTCCAGCCCAGGACTGGGGCTTTATCCCCAGAGGTGAGCCTCACCGTGAGCAGCCAGAGGATTTGCACATGCCAAGCAGAGAATGGGTCTCTTGGCAGTGAGATTTGAGGGAAATAGGAGGCATGAAGACAGCCTCCCAAAGCAGGATCTGTTGCTCATTAATTACCCCATGGCATCCTTTCAGGACAGCCCTAGGGGATGCTGAGATGAGGAATAGCAGGCTTGGAGCAGGAAAGGGCGGGAGTGCACATAGGATAAGAAACATTCCAAAGTCAGGGCCGCCCTGTTTTTTTCCTACGTGGTCCTGGCTCCTGCGAGGGAAAGTACAGGCTTTGGGAGCAGGTGGCAGAGGGAGCAAAGAAAGAGCCAAAAATGATCCACAGCTTATAGTAGCAGTAAAACTGTTTCCTTTCTTTTTTCCTCCCCTCCCTTTCTTGTGGTGGGAGGGCAGGAGGCCCAATGGTTGAAAATGAGAAGGTTCCCACCCAGAACTCTTCTTGTGAGAGACGTGCACTTTAAAGGGTGATTTTTGTTACAGATGTTTATGGCTGGGTTGGGGTTGGGGTTGGGAAGCACCATGATCTACGGAACTCTGCTTGACGCTTTGCTTCTGCCCATTGCCATCTCACCTCCCATTCCTCTGTAAGGCTTTCTAGCAGTTTAGGGGCCAAAAGAGAGAGGAGAAATCCCTTCAGGGCTGAGAATGAAGGACTGCCTTGCCGGGACCCAGTCGGGGGCTTTGGGGAAAAGACTTGACTGCTAGACGATGGGCCCTAGGCAGGGCTTTTGAAAGGTGGCTGACCCAACAAAACTCCCACTCCACATGTCAGGCCTGCTTTGACATTTCCGAGTCTCTAGTAGTGACTTTGGAAAGCCCTGGAGGACCTTCTCCTCTAGGCACCCACACTCCTCCATTACCTGTCTATGTTGTGCCTAAGTGCCTGCGCTGCCCCCGCCCTTCTGCTGCCCTGACCTCTGCATGGTGTCTTGATCTGGGCCTCACGTGTAGCTGCACTGCCTTTGTCCACTAAGACCTCTTGTTTTTGATGTATAAGGGTCTCTGGTTTCCCTATCGGCTATAACTTTTATATTTAGAAACTCAATCATGTCCTCTTTCACTGGCAGCACTATAGTGGAGAAACAAAGAAGAAACCATGCCCTAAGCTGAGCATTTCCCATTCTGGTGGTTTTACTTGGCCCCTCCCATCTCAGTCCATTGCCTCTCAGCATTTTGGCATCTCCCAACTGTGCCCTTCCAGTGTCAGCCCTGAAAGTCCAGGGTAGTCCCTGTACCATCTTAGCGGCTGTCGCCTTGTGTGGTGGTGGGTTCTTCTACAAAGAGGATTTGCTATCTTGGCTGTGTTTGCTGCCATCTCCCTTAAACCACATGTCACCTGCAGCTTGTAGTGTCAGCTTAGGCCGTAGGATTCCACTGGGTGTTAAGATGTAGGCTCCCCCACCAACTTTCAGGTGGTTGAGTGGTTTTTGTGTGGATTTTTTTTTAAAGGGGGAGTGTGTGGTTCTTTAGACTCTTGAAGGCAACTCAGGGTATTGTCCACCCAGCTCTCTAGTTAGACTTCTCCTAGAGTATGATTGTGGCATTTCCTTCATAGATAGACTTGGAGCGGTCAAGACCTGGCCTGTCATCAGGAGGCCCACACTTCTGAGGTATGAGCAAAACTTAAGGCAAGTCTTGTGATCTCTCTCTCTTTCACTTCCTCCCCAGCTGCCAAATGGGGATAAATAATCTTACCTACCTCCTGGGGGGAGGGGAAGTTCTGAGAATGGAGTCATTCTTAGTGTTCAGGTGCTAAAGGTTCTCTTCGGGAATAGAGTGACAGAAGCTGGCTGGCGGGCTGCAAGCCCTGCATTCTGTTTCAGACCTTGAGAGCAGATACCTGGTCAGCAAGCTTTTCGGGGAACATCCAAACGAAGCTGCTTAACTTAGGCTGACAAGTCCTTAAGTCTGGGAGTGTTGTCAGAGTCCGACACCAACCCTGTGCTGTGGTAGAGATCACGTTCTTTCCCCTCTTCTGCCCCCAGTCCTCGATTGCTGCTTCTCTGGCTTATTTCCTACAGCGGGGCCTGTGGGCTTGAGTCTTAAGGATTCTCTCAGATGAGAGCTGTAGGAGAAGGCCTCCTCTCTGTTTGGCGAGCAACTCCTTCCTAGGGGTCAATGTATGTGCGGGTTTCTCGAAAGCCCCCTTTCTCACACGAAGGTTCATCCTGGGAATTTAGTGACATGCACTGTAGATGCTCAAGAAATGTCTACCAGGGATACCACTGAGCTTCTTCTTAATGGGGCCAACGTGCATCCGGTTGTAGTTGAAGTCAAATCACTCTCTACTCAGACTAGTAGCTTTCTAGCCTGTAATGCCCGCTGAATCCTGGAAAAAGAAATTGTTGAAGACTTGGCCAAATTGGGCACTGACCTTTCTGCTGTGGTTCCTTTTTTATCCCTGTCTGATAAAGTAATAACAGTAACTCCCTTAATATGGTGCCGTGCATTCGTAACACGCTTTTGCTGAGCTGAGGGCTCCCTTTCCTGAAGTGTGCACCCCTAGAAAAGAATGCTTGTCAGAGCTGTGGCAGTGCTTACCCTAAGTGTGTAAGAGACATGAGTGGTCTTTAGAGTAAGCATTTCAGTGGTTAGCTGTCAGCTTTTGGGGACTGGGCCGTTGACAAAGATCAGCCTGTTCCCAGTCAGTGATAGGACATTCCCAGAACTTGGAGAAAGTTCTGAAACTGAACGGAAATACAGGTGCCAATTTAGAAGAAGGGGAACTTGGTAAAGGATGATGGGTAATCTAAGATCATCCTTATCAAGATAGGAAGTGGGGAAGGGGCTTGGGCCCTCAGAGGTGAGGGAGGAGCCTGAGTAGAGCTAGACTGACCCCTCTTTACACTTAGGGTCCCATTTGGTCCTAACACCATGGGCTTTGCTCTGTGCTGCTTTGGCCACTGCTGTTGTCTGCTCACTGTCCTGCCTGTTGCCCATTTAGCTCCTGTCCTTCATGTCTTTGGCCATGTAGACTAAGCTCAGACATCCGGTCCATTCTAACTTGTGTTCTACCAGTGTTTCTGCGCAGCACAGTCACGTTAGACAGGGTTGGTCTGCATGCTGTTGAAGGGCTAGTAGATCTGGAAGGATGTGGCTTCAGTGCTGTCAGGAGCCCGTTGGCTCCAAAAATTTGCCTGTCTTGAGAGAGAAACAAGCGGGTCCTACTAGAGACAGTCTTTTCTCTCTTTTATGGTACTTTGTAGCGTGTTTCAAGACAAGAAGAACCAACCGTGTTAGGTGTTGAGCCAGGATCCTAGTGGCATTCCTCTAGCCCCATGTTCTGGGGTTGAGAAAGAGTTTGAAGTTTGGCTGAAATAGCTCCTCCATTTCATGGGTTTAATTTTCTTTTTGCCAGTGGGTATCCCAGGCCTTTTAAGAGACGAACAGGACGGCGGCATGATTTAAACCCGCACTGAGTAGGCATGTTGAGTGGTTACACTGGCACCAGCTGACGGACGTCGGGAAAGGCTCAGGCCTTTGGGGTAAAGATAACCAGATTCCTTGAATTGGCCATGGGAGATTAGGCCACAGTCCTAGAAGCAAATAGGACAGAGGCCACGTTTTAGAGAGGTGTGTTGACCTCCTAGGATTAAGTTTACTAAACTACACTGAAGCTATAGTACTTTCTAGATCAGAAAAGTTGTACACTACAGTTGAAGAGCTGAATTCTACTATAGATGGATGTTAGCCTTTGCTTGGAAGCCTTCACCTTCTAGCTTCCCCAGGGTTGGAAAGGTCTCCCACATTATGCAATAATAAAATAAGTATCTGGGTCTTTGCAGCTGTCAGTTTTTTTCAACTCTAGGATCCATCTTTGGACCTAAAGCCTGGTCTGGGCCTAGGATGACATTGGCCCTTGGTTCTAGAGTTGGTTGCATTCTCTCCTTACCTGCAGACTATGCACAGTTCCTGGGGCAGAGGGAGAAGTGGGATGGCTTGCCCTGCTGAGCCTCCTCAGCAGGAATAATAGTAATAAATGCACTTTTCACATTAAAGGTTTCTTTATTAGTTCTCCTGTTAAGCCTAGGCTCTTCCCCTAGTAGATTGCAAACTCAACATTCTGTGTGATCCCAAAGCCATCCACTGCAAATGCTTAGCAGTCAAGATGGCCCCAGACTGGGTTCCTGTCTGCAGTGTGTGTGGCAGCAGCCCATGTGCCTTTACCTAATGTCAGACTTGGAAGCGTTTAGTCTGTCTTTATGTTAGGGGGTCTTAGGTACTTCAGAGAGAGAGAGAACAGATAACACAGTGGTTTTATGCCCCCCTCACCCCCTGGCAGGGACTTTGTGTGTAGTTGTCAACTGTGAGGGTTGGTGAGCTGCTGGTATTGCTGAAGGCAGGGTGGACCCCTCATTTGCTTCATGTGTGCACTCAGTGAATTGGATTGGGGAAGAGACTGACCGTACTCATGGCTAACCTGAAGTATTAAAATACGGCTGTCCTCTACACACTTCCTAGTCACACAGGATCCCTGTAGCCAAAACAGTATATGTTCCAGCTGCAGAGAGCAGACTGCTCTCAGCTTGCACAGCACCTTAGGGGAGGGAAGAATATATGGATAGGTGATAGGGGTGGAGAACAGATGGGGATTTTGTCATCCAGGTGGTTTTAGGGTCCTAAGGAGTAGAGAAGGATGGCACTGGGGAGGTCTGGATGGATCTGATTTGTGTAGGAGTTCCCTGTAGATAAATTACTGATCCCCCAACCACTATCCCCAGTATGTAATGGCTGAATTAATATGTAATCAACTGCATTGTATCTAAAGCCTTAGAACTAGTCAGGTGCTCCTCCCACCCAATACCATTTCTTACCCTCTAATCCTACCTGATCTTTAACAAAGCATTAATAATTCTAAGGATAATCTCTATTTTGTTGTGCTTTTTTGTAACTGTTTTAAATAAATCAATTTGTACTGTATATTTGTACTTTTGTGAGATCCTTTTTGCTGTTTTACCATTTTAAGTCTCTGTACTTGGCTACACACAGATTGTATTTTTATTGTTAATGCTCTTCTTATGGATACCTGCATTTAACTTGTGGACTATGTAAACACAATATATATCAATATCTATATATCTATATATCGATCTATATAAACTACTAGCTTTTCCTTTTGGTGTTTGCGCCTTTTTCCTATCTCAGTTTGATGGGTGGCCATTGGGGCAGGATCACTTGGGAGTAAACATGGTGTGGTTATTGGTGAACTTGGCAAATGGTGGGAGCTACCTGAACTGTGGTTTGCGCCCACTGGTCAAGGGTTTCAGAGTCTGGGAAATCTACCTGTAGGCTAAGGTCGGCAGAGTCAGTCAGTAGGACCTGTACATGTCCTAACTGCTGGCCTTAACACCAGTGGCGTACTCTGGCATACTGCCATACACTGCTGAAGTGATCCCAGTTATAGCCACTGCCTCTGACTTTAGAAAGTTTGCCACCAGGAAGTGGTGAAACACTCAAGTACCCTTATTTACTGTGTACCATAAACTATCCTAAGTGCATTATCAATCATCTATTGCTATTACTACCATTTTGTGACAGGAATTCAAGGACTGGCTCAAGTTACACAGTAGTGGTACAGTGGGTTTTTGGGTTCTGGGTTTTTGTTTTGTTTTGTTTTTGAAACAGGATCTCTCTCTAGAGCCCTGGCTGTCCTGGAACTCACTGTGTAGACCAGGCTGGCCTCAAACTCTGAGAGATACACCTGTCTCTGCCTCCCGAGTGCTGAGATAAAAGGTGTGCATCACCACACCTGGCTTGTTCTGTGGTTTTGGTTGGTTGGTTCTTTTTGCAATGGTGGGGATCAAACCTGGGGCCACCAGCATGTTAGGCAAACCACCACTGAGCTGGGGCTAATTCCTGAATTTGTATTGATTCAGAATGATGTGGAAATAATTGTATAAGCCATGTGAAGTACTCAAAGTATTACTTGGGACAGAGTGCATCCAGTTATTTGAAATATTTCAAATAGGACTTCAGTATGGAACTCTGTGAAAGGCATTTGGATCAATTAAGTACTTAAGTTCTTTTCAGTGTAACCCTTGGAGTATTTCTCAGCCAGTAAGGTAGGATTTAGCTAGTTAGTTGAGAATCATTTGACACTTTTAACCAGCCTTAGATCTACAGAGGTGGGAGAGGAGTCCAAATGTCTTACATTGGAAGAGGTCCATGGTCCTGCCGTAGTTATTTTTCTGGCAACAGTTGAACTAGGGCGCATCCTTCTGGACCTCCAGATCTATAAATATCCAGACTGTACATACCCTTTGATGCAGGCTAAGGAAAGCTCTCTGCTTGCTCTTGTACCAGCAGAGAGAAACCGAGCAACTCTCATTTCCTCCGTGGCAGGCGGGCGGGCGGGCAGGCTTCGAGAGGGAGTGGTTCTGCTCTAGTCCTCATCACAGTTGACTCCATCTCACCATTACTAGCCCTCTGCTGGGATAGCCTAAGTGGAAGAGCATTCTGCCTCAGAAAAGAACAAGCCACCACAAGTCACTACCTGAAAATTCTCAAGCTCTCTCCTAGCACACACACTTCACTGGATGAAACAGAAATGAGACCAAAGAGCCAAGGGTCAGTAAAGATAAAATTAATTTATTTGCCCTCACAGCTTCATGGACTGTACTGGGGTCCTACAGTCCCCTAGCCCTGGCCTGCTACAGTGGGCTGAGGAGTCTACGTTTATGGAGTGCCTGCTCCCTTGTCCAGAGCTGCCTTGAGCTGGGTCCCTCCTGACTCCATCGTGTTCCCACATGCAGAGGGTGCACAGGTTTCCCTGCAACCAACCCGGGCCTGCCTGTGGCAGCAAGGACTGTGGCCTCCTGGGTGACAGCAGCACTGACCCCTGTGGGCTGGAGTGGATGGGTGGTCAGGCAGGAGGGTATGGTTCAGTGCAGAGAGCTGTTGTTCTGGTCCTCAAAGGCCATTTTCCCCAGAAGCTGGCTGTCCAACTCTACCCCACTCACAGGCAACTGGAAGAAGTTCATTTCAGCTGCTAAGGCTGCCATGGCAGAAGGGTCCTGACCAAACTGAGCTCGCAACATCATGTCCATTTTCTCCAGTCTCCGCTTGAGCCTCTTAGCCTCTCGCTCTCGAATGAGTCGGGCCTGCCGCTTCTCTGGGGTTTCATTGGCCCGCTTCAGCCTCATGGCCTCACGGTCTCGCTGTAGCCGGCGAGCTCGCTGCTCATCTGTCTCCTGCATTCGTTGCAGGCGCTTGGCTTCACGGTCCCTCATGCGTCTGACCTCCCGCTCCTCTGGGGTCTCATTGTCTCGCCGACTCTTCTTGGCGGTGCGTTCTCGTTCGAGTCGTTGTAGCCGTACTTCCAAAGGCTCGTTCTGTCGACGGAGGGCCCACTTGCGTACATTGGGGGTCTGTGTTTCCAGGAGCTTGCGGTAGGCAGCACAGTTGTTGCACACAAGCAGAATTCCAGCGGGGTACACTGGAGGACTACAAGTAATGTCCTTCCCTTCGGCGCTGGAGGGGCCCTCACTGTGGACTTGGGGTAGGGATTCCATATTAAGGACTTCAGGAAGTTTCTCACTGGGAAGCCAAGATTTTTGATGATTAGTATTTCTGTGTAGCAAGTCTCAGGTACCCAAGTACCTAACTTATCCCATAACCACTAGGCAAACTGTTCCAAGCCCACCACTATGAGGGCTGGTTTGAATGCTTGAAACACCTCTTCTTTGGGCGAGGGTGTCTACTCAATTTTAAGGCCCACTTTGAATTAGCACCTGAGCCACCCGCCATAGAAACCTACCAGAATAACCCCTATAAGGCGAAGCCAGCGACCTGGAAGTGGAGGTTTCCTTCATGCAGGTACAATTCACTGCTTTACCTCCACCTACCTAGCACTGCCCACACGGAAAAGTAGCTATGCATTGTACGACCAAGGCAATGGGATGAGGACAGTGTTTTAGTCTTCCTAGAACACAGCAGAGTGTGTCCTTATACCAGATCCTCTCAGCATCCTGCAAGGTCTGTCTGCTTGCTTTATCATGACTGTTCTTGGTGTCTCTGCATCACTTTCTAGTTGGAAATATTCTGATAGGGAAAGAAAAGCAATTCATTTCCCTTGAGGGATCTAGTGCATACTAACTAGCCTATCTCTTAGTCTCATTATTTGTATTTCTAGATTGTTCTATCAGCTCTTTTGCATTACGTATCTCTAGCCTTTCTTTTGACCTGGGAGAGCATCATTACGCCCAGTAACTTGCCCTTAGCACAAGGTTAGGTGTTCTACTAACCTGTTAAAAGTGGCATGGCTAGTAAAACGGGCTCCACACACAGCGCAGTTAGACCGCTGGTCTTCTGAATGGATTAGGAGGTGGCGACCCAAAGACCCTGGGGAGCTAAGGGCCCGTCCACAGACAGGGCACATGTAACTCTTGGCACTCACCACTGCTGCAGTATGCTGTAAAACAAAGCCTCAATCTGTTATTTGTGTTACCTCCAGGACAATCTGCACCCCTTCTTTTTTTCCCTTAGAATGAAGAACTTGCAACTACTTGTTTAGCCCTTCAGACCATTGCTCATATTTTATTATCGTGAATTCTGACCATATTCTGGGACACATGAATGGCTTGAAGAATTATGGGATTCCAGAGCCCTCCTCAGAGCCTGAGATTCGTGCTCTTGATAGTTCTGGCTTCCCTGGCTCACACTGTGTAGTTTTACAGTGCATTTTAAGAGCACAATGAAGGAGTCTGATAGAATAGTGGTATGTAACAGGTATTTATGGCCCGGCTTTCCTCAGGCCTCTCAAGAAGTTCTTTTAAACTCAGAGAGCTGCCTGCACCACCTCCAGGCAGAAGAAAAACTTGTAATGAACCAACTATCTCTCTAGGTACAATCTATAAAGCTTGGTACAACCTAGGCTGTCCTGTGTAGATGTCTCATAAATACAGACCACTAGGAATAGGTATACTCTCAATTGGGTGAAGGTGGAAAAGTCTTTTTTCCTTGTTTGTACTTTCATTGGCACCTCAATATGTCATGGTGCATTTTATTTATTTTGTGTGCCTGCGCATGCACAGGAGGTCAGAGGATAACAAGTGGCAATCAGCTCTCCGCACACTATGTGGGTCCCCAGGTCATCGGGCTTGGTGGCAGGTGCCTTTACCACCAAAGCCATCTTGTTGGCTCACATTATGTTAGCCCTACCCCCTTAAAAAGCCATCACTGTTAATAGAAGTCAATTTCTATTTTACTACTGAATGTATTAAATAATTTAGGAAAATAAGATCCCGATACTTAATTTTCAAAATGTATCTGTCTGGGAACTCAGAACCTATTTAACCAATACATCACTATTATTTTCTAGGATGTTCTGAAGTGTAGGAGGAGTCCTAGTAGAACCAACAACCTGAGCTGCTTTTCCCAGAGGCCAAGGTCACCGCAGCACCTGAGATCTAAACTGCTGGCTGTCAGTCCCAGAACTCCCCTCCCCATTCCATACCTGGTACACATGCGCGATCAGCTGCTCCCGACTCCCACAGTCTAGCTGGCAGAGGGGACACTGGCAGAGTTCAAGCAAGGGGTCAGAATTTAGGTTTTCTGTGACCTGCAAATCCACCAAACAAGCAAGTCATGAAGACTCCTCACTGGTCTCTTCCCTGTCCCACCTCTTTCAATAGAGACCCAGGCCAGGTGTTGTCTTAGGTGCCCAGTATGGACTGAAGGATCAAGTATTGTTTCAAAGGGATTAAATTTTCTTGAACCTTCAAGACTTTCTACCCTGAGGACACTGGACCCTGCAGGGAAAGGCTTCGCTTCGCTTCCCTTCTGCATGTCCCTTGCAGGAATACTCAGGAAACAATTTAGTTGGAAGCTGGTTTCACAGGACAGTCTGACTCTGACTTAACCCTGAAAGCACACTCCAGAGTGCCTCTTAGAGTGGTTCCCACTTGGCTAAGGTGCTGCTCTGCTTGGAAAGAAGTGGGAGCTTTTAGGGGTCTGGGTGTGGGTGGAAAAGAAAACCGTCATGACGAGGACTGCTTGCCACTTGCCTCGTGCTCTACTACTGCATTCCCACTACCAACAGGCTGTTGTGCATTTTCTAATTCTTTTTCCACCTTGACTACCCCACCATCTTCCTCGGATGTGTGGGAAGATACT